ACCCCCCCCCCCCCCCCACACACACACACACACAAAAGTTGTTCGGCTTCAAATTTATATAAAGTACACAGTAGTTTTGAGAAAAAGTAAAGCCTTGCAATTCCATTGTCCCACATACAAGTCGAGCTGTGATAATAGACCAATGACTTGGTAACCACTTTCTTCTTTTTCTTTGTTTTAAACCGGATGCTTCTTATCCTGTTTTCAAAGTTTTCATTGTTGATTTAGCCATACACTTCACATGTTTCAAGTCAAGTTGTGATAATAGACCAGTTCGACCTGGTAACTACTTTGTTCTTCTTCCTAGTTTTACACCTGATGCATGAATGCAAGAAATAACAAACTTACATCACAATGTCTTTTTCTTCGTTATTTTGATTTTGGTTTGGGTTAACAATATCCTTCACATGTTTCAAGTCGAGTTGTTGTGCTAATAAACCAATACGACTTGGTAACCACTTTGTTCTTTATCCTAGTTTTACACCAGATACATTAACACAAGGAATAACAAACGTACATCAAAATGTCTTTTTCTTCGTTATTCTGATTTTGGTTGGGTTAGCCATACACTTCAAATGTTTCTGGCGTTTCTTGCAGGAGAAACAACTATGCCGAGAAATCAGGTTATCGCCGCATCATTATCTTAGGATGCAGGAGGTCCTTACAGTTCAAATTTATAGTGGCAATATCACTAGAAAATCAGATGCTTATCCCTTGTTTCAAATAGAAGCAACTAACGTAGATAGAGTTTATGATATGCTTTTGAAGAAAGGAGTTGCACCCTTGTAAAAATTTGTCCTGATATTGTTTTTAGGTTTAAATGACATCTCTGTCTTTTTTTTCACTCATTTCCTGGCAAATTTATAGTATTTTTTTTCATTTCTAGTAGGATAGTTCGGTGTATTAAGCTTCATCTATGTGCGAAGTCAGAGGAGGGTTGGACCACAAGGGTTTATTGTATATAACCTTACTCTTCATTTCTGCAAGAGGTTGTTCCCACCGTTTCAACCTATAATTATTTAAAAAATGATTATTATTAGGGCAAACCACATAAATCCCACTAGTTTAGGTCTTAATTATTAAGATTCCCAATAGTTTCAAATATTACTTCATGTACCATATTTTATGCTTAGGATATATGAGTCTGAATCCATGAGATACATGTATCTGCCGAATTTTAAAATTGAGATACAAAATTTATTTATTTAAATCAATTGTTTGGAACTAATTTCCTTAATTAGAGGAGTAATTGAGGATTTTCAAAATACATAGATAATTAATTTCATTTTATTATTCTTTAAAATAGTAAATTCATTAATATTATTAATATAAGATAAAAACATGTAAAGCTTGGTAATGCATTTGATTAATTTCAAATTATTACTCTTAAAATAATAAATTCATTAATTTG